ATTAATTACGATCCTGCTCAAACCACTCAATGTAAAAAGCTCAATTTTGGCATACAGGTTGATTCTAGGGTGTAGAGGTATATTTTTTATTTAAAAAATGGTCAAGTTTTCGGAAAAACGCTTAAACACGTATATTTTATTTTGTTTTTTACATATTTTAAGATTTTTTAAAAATGTATACAGGGTGTTTCGAAATATCTGGTCATTGATTAATCACGATGCTGCTTAAAGCGCTTGACGTAAAAAGCTGATTTTTGGAAAACAGATTGACTTTAAGGTGTAGAGCTTCGATAAGAAGGGATTTTTCGAAACTCGAATTCTAAGGGGGTGAAACTATCCCTCAAATCTTAAAATATCTTTTATTTAAAAACCGGTGAGTTTTTCGGAAAAACTCTTAAACACGTATATTTTATTTTGTTGTTTTACATATTTTAAGATTTTTTATAAATTTATCAGGGTGTTTCATAAAATATGACCATTGAGTAATCACGATTCTGCTTAAACTGCTTGACGTTTAAAGTTGATTTTTGGCAAACGGATTGACTGTGGGGTGTAGAGGTTCGATAAGGAGGGGTTTCTCGAATCTCGTATATTATGTCATATACTAACGCACCAAATCTCGTTTTTTATATGAAAAAATAAAAATGTTATAGGGGTGAGCCATTTTTGAGACGCACTCGGTAGGTATAGTTTGTGCAACGACGATTTAATCCAATTATACTACATGTACGGAAAATATCCGTTATGTAGAATATCCCTCACAAGTTCCTAACACTAATTTTGAGCGAGAAAAATATAAAATTCTTCCAAAAGCTCGCGTTAAGCATACTTTCTTCGGATCGCTATGCATTTTTCACTAACCGAATGAATTTTAAACACGGTTCTTACTGTTTCTGGAACTATTATCCGCTGTACAAGATGCGAGCCCGTCCAGAATAAGCTGCAATTTATTTTAGGAGAAAACATTTTGAAGAAATTTTCATTTCGGAGATTGCGTTGCAGGATATCGCACCTGAGGGAATCGGCGGAATGGAACTCGACTGGCGTTACAGCGTTACCGGCTTTATTCCTGCACAGTGCCATTCTTAACAGCGCGCAGCTTTGAATTGTTAAAGTTTTAGTTAAGACTTCTGTTTTACGAGGTACTTATTCCTATTCTATAAATTGATATTGCTGATGATTTGGTTGGAGATCGCGCAGTGTTAAAGAAAATGCGAAGAGAAACAAATAGTGGAAATTCAACAAAACTGTTATAGTTTTCTTATACAGGGTGTTTCAAAAAACATGTACTATCTCTCGTGGGCAGATTCCTCACGTAAAATAAGATTTATTTGTCATGTCAACATAGCTCCGATTCTGCTTTGTTTCGTAGCTACGGGGTGTTAAATTCTTTTTTTTTTCGATTTATCATTATGTTCTTTCATGTAATTTTAGCGTTTCGAATGAAATTTTGAGGGTAAAAGTTACTATAAATGCGACATATTTTAAAGCTAAAAACTGTCGACATATTCACCAGGGACGTGCATATGGGTTATCACTGGAATAATTTTCTTAAAAAAAGCATGTACGCCACTGATTTTGCCAACAATTTGATTCGAAAGTAAAACAACATTGTTACATTGTTCCTTACCTTCTTTTGTTCACACGCTATGTTTACCTTTGAAACTCCAACGTTTTTCCACAGTTTTGCCGCTAAAAAAATCGGAAAAACACGCACCAGGTTTATTGAATTACTCGCTGAGAGAGTTAACAGGCAGTTGCGCACACACGCTAAATTTCCCAAGCCCAGACACCTTATTAAGGGAAATACTTACGTGATAATCAGTTCGTGCCGAAATCGACCTAACCAGTCTACAACGCAAACATCCTATTCGGATTATACTGCCGGAATATTTGAGGATAATTAACTGGTTAATTGCTGACTCGAACAGTTTCAGTCCGGTTGAGAAGCCGGAGAGGTTGGGATAAAGGAGTTTTCTTAATAAACTTAAAGAAATGTAATTAATAAAAAAAATTGTTTGTGTACTATGTGTGAACATTTGAAGTGAAACTATTTACTAACAGCTATTAATTGAAGGATTTGAAGGATACGTATTTGTTATGAATTATTTTTATAAACTTCAAAAAATGATGTTTTTTTTTTCATTTTTATTAAAAAAACGATAATTCTATTACCACTACATCTATATATCTGACAATTACTAACTGCTACTAACTAACAATTTGTTTTGTGTAGTCTGTGGTCTGTTTTTGATTAAATGTTTTGTTCGTTATTCATGTTGGGGATTTATTTTTAAATTAATGTTAATCGTTAGGGAACCATTATTTCTTTTGTATAATCAAAATTGTCTAAATTTAATATAACCAAATTGTCACTCTAAATCACTGTCTTTTTTAAACATATGTCACTTGTCTTATCATTATTCAATTCAATATTCGAATTCTCAGAAGTTTTATAACAAAAGTTTCATCTTAAAATAAAATTTTAATCAATCACAATTGTTTATCTCCTTCATTTACCGGATTAATAATACAGAGATTACAGCTCAATTACAAACCATTCATTATTTATAGTGATTTACAGTTATTTTATTAAATTATACGAATATTTTGGTTAATTATTGGTTTGAAATAAATAGGACTGTGCCCTCCAATGAAAATGTTAGTTATTTGTTCTAAATTCTAATTCTGAGCTGGCTAAAGAGCTAGATGCTTTACCTAGACCGTTATTCAGAAGCTACAAACCTATCGATGAAAATATATATAAAATCAAGGGTTGCACAGTTTCAGGTTTATTATAGTGATTTTCTTAGTGTGGCTGCAACGACGCGCGACATCCGGTCATCCTGCTGTTAAAACAAAACGATTGGTTTAAAAACCAATCGTTTTGTTTTAACAACAGTTTTATATATAAATATATAAAAACCAGCAGTATGTTGCAACAGTAGGATTACGGGAGGTCGTTGCAGCCACCCTTAGCCGTGTATAGCACATATCGTTACCCAGTGTTGCTGCAAGCTTATTTTTCATCGGGGTAGATTATCACAAGATAACGGGGTTAAATTGTTTTAAAACGGTGTAGCTGTGGCAATACTGCCATTGTCACTTTTCCTCTTGTGCATGCCGTCTCGCATTGGGTCTACTCAGTGTCGTTTCCTTTTGTGCATGCGATTTTACTCCCAATGCGCGTAAAGAAGTTTTACTTCAAAAACATTAATACATTCTTCCATCTAATCTATCTATTTAATCAACAAATACCTAGCTATTCCTGTTAGCATAAAATGCTCTAGAAAATGTTGTTAAAAGCTGAATCTTCTGTCGATCAACTGATTTTCTTTCTTAAAAACTTTTTTCCACAAAGAATCGAATGGAATACATAAAAGAACCCAGTGTCTAAAAGCATACAAATTGTCGCAAGTTGTAATTTGGAGGCCTGGTTTATCGGCAGAACGTTGAAAAAGAACAGGAAAAGGGGAAAAAGAAAAGATAACGCTACGCGAAGCAGAATCTAAAAGATTTCGAATTTTCTCAATAGGCAAGGAAGAAAATGAAAACTGATGTTGATTAATTTGAAAAAAGGTGATAATGTGGAATAAGAAGATTGCACGAACGACAGCAGAATCAAAAGATTTCGAATTTTCTCAATAATAGGCAAGGAAAGAAAATGAAAACTGATGTTGATTAATTTGAAAAAGGTAATGTGTGGAATAAGAAGATTGCACGAACGACATTCTGAATATAAAACCTTTCTAATTATGAGAAAATTTTACAAATGGATAATGAGTTTCTCTCATCTTCTCTTTCTTGCTCTCTGCGTCTACCTTTTCTGGAGAATTTAAATAAATTTGATATCAAGCTTTTTCGGAATAAATCGTACTTTTCTTTCTTGCTTTCCATCTCTGGTTCTTTGAGACTAAATTAAATCAAAGCAATAAGAAAAAGAAATAAAAATGCCATCTTTCTTTCAGATAGAAAAATAAACAAATTTGTCTCTTGGATTGTAGTGGTGTGAGTTCTTATTCGGTGTATTTACGAATTGAAAATCGAGACGAATAATGTTTTTCATTACAGAAAAGTGTCTCATATTTATATTATTTTTCAATTAATGATTTAGGTTATAGAGTAAATCACCATCATCATCATTTAGCTTATTCTGTGCACTATTGAACAAACTCCCTCAACTCAAGCCATTTCTTTCTATTTTGTACCACTTGGATCCAGTTTCCAACCACTCTCTTAATATCATCTGTCCATCGACTAGGATGTCGTCCTCTGCTTCTATAGACCTCGTATCTCCATTCCACTCTTTGTCCACCGTCCATCTGTTATCCTAGCTCCATGTCCTGCCTAATTCCATTAAGGATGTAAGACAGATATAACTGTTCGATTTTGTATGGTATGATTGGGTATTTTATCCCTAAGTGTAACTCCCAACATGGACCTTTCTATTTTCCGTTACATGACCTGTATTCTATGTATGTTCTTTTGACAAAGTGGTTCAGCACCATATGTGAGGACAGGCATGACACACTAGTTAAGAACCTTTCATTTTAAACATATTGGAATATCAGATCTCAGTATATGCTTTAGTCCTACCTTTTAGTTTGAACCTACTTTTTATTTGTAAATTTCGTGTCTCTGATTAGAGTAACATAGATTTTTATAATTCACAGTAAAGTAAAAAAGCGGAAGAAATAAAAAATAAAGAAAACAAGAACAAAATGGAAGAAGGTCGTTAATAAATAAACGGAGTTCAATGTAATTGTTGCCTTCGTTTATAGTGTTTACGAATAGTTACACTATAAGAACTGCTTAATAATAAAAAATATAATTTCAAAATTATTAAGTATATTATATTGAAATAGTAACGTACATAAATTAAACATTAATTTTTATATTATCAAGGACTCGATTTATAACATTCAAACCTTCAATCATAGCGTTCAGTCTGTTGATTCGTTCTTCGATCCATGGCTTACGCTTCGATTTGAACTTTCTGCTCATATCCTCCCCATTTCTAGCAAGATCCTCGCATATACTAGCGGATCTTTTTCTATTTTTCGATCATCGACAAACTTTACAGTTTCCTCTTCCTCACATTTGAAGAACAGTTCTTTTTCGTCCGTGTCTTTTCTAAACAACTGCCATATCTACGCAAAAAAATCTATATATTGAATGCTGCAACTAAAAAAATCGATGACTCCACAATCTCATTTTTTGTTTACTATTATAGTGCTAATAATAAATTACAACAATTATTAGGTAATCCTAAAGATAAAACACCTCCACTGGAAAGGTCGGGTATTTAGGAAATTTTATGTAAAGACTGTAATCAGAAATATGTTGAGCAAACTAGAAGATCAATATTAAGGTTCAGGTAATTTTGATAAGAAAATAAAATTGATAAAGAACTCGTACTAATTCACGTATAGATATTAATAATTTAAAATTAATTAAACAAGTCATTTACAGCAAAATACTAATCAATATATGCGACCACAAAATTAATACACATAAAGATAATATGAACAGAGACAATGATCCAGTACCATGGACGCGCTGCCTTCGCTAATCCATGTTAGCATCATCAGCAGATGATTATAAACTGAAGTTTGTTGAAGAAAATTATAAACTCATTTATCATCTGCTGATGATGCTAACATTTAGCGAACGCGCGTCCAGTGTGTGCAAAGGTATAAGTGTTTCAGGTGCTTTAGTGATTTTATTTGATGGTTGTGTAACACCAAAGGTGCCAACCCTCAACTGTAATCTCAAATTACAAACAATTAGATCCATATGAGACCGTCAAAATTAATAAATATAAAGATAATATGAACAGAGACAATGATCCAGTACCATCCTCTGTTCTTACTGCTCTAGTTTCCCGGTAATTAATTGTTGTTACGCTCTGGTTGGTTTTGACTCGCTTCGCTAGATTTTAGCACGTCTACTGGCGCCAACTGAGCGCTTTATAACGCTGAAATTGTAGATATTAGTTTAGTTTTAATCATCTTGCTTTGATGATACTTAACTTGATTAGTGAAACGCGCGTTCAGTGCAAAAGTAAAAAGTGTTTTGGTTTATTGTGGTGAATTAGTGCTTTTTATTTTTGCCGTTCTAATACCAAAGTTGTTGCAATTATTATTATGGTGCTACTATGATCATAAGAATGGTAGCAATAAAAATAAAATAAACAATCAAATCTACTCTAATCTAAATCATACGACCGAAAAAAAATAGCGTCGCAGAAGCCACTGTATAAGGAAATAAATATTGTTTTTTAGAGCTTGTCCTATTTATCTATTTTATATTTACCACTTCTGAAATAAGCTCATAATCTTCTTCAGTCATAGTCCTAGATTTTTCTTCGTTTCTCAAAACGCATTTTGATATCAAAGCCATAGCTTTCATTCTATTTTTCGCCACTATACATAAATCGTTGTAGCGATCTACTGATATTGACTGAATAAGATTTTCTGGAATATCTACAATATAATTTCCAAAATTACATTTAATTCTAATAATTTAAAAAATGGCCACAGCAAGAGTAATGATATATAAAACAACCCCAGAGTTCCCAACTGCAATTCCCGAAGTTTGTTTACAGCAACACTAGAAGAAATCTTCCGTCAACTGGACTGGACCAACAAAGGATTAAAAATAGATGGGGAATACCTTAACTATCTAAGATTCGATAATTGCCAATAGTCCTGAAGGACTACAAGCACAAATTAACGAACTAAATGCAGCCAGCAATAAAGTAGGTCTCAAAATGAATTTAGCAAAAACTAAAGTAATGAACTAGTAGACAGAAAAGACATTCTAATAAATAAGACAATTCTGGAAATAGTAAAAGAATTATTTGGGACAACTAATGCACAGCGGGATCTCTACTACCAGAAGTCAACAGAAGAATTAAGTTAGCATGAAGTACTTATGGAACTCAATTTTTTTTATCTAAAGAAGAAAACATTCGACCAATGTGTACTGCCACTCAAGACCTATGCATGAGAAACCTGGACCCTTAAAACGGCGATTATAAGGAAACTGCAGGTAGCACCATGCTCAATGGAACGAAATATGTTGGGAATAACCAAGAATGACCGTAAAAGGAGAGAGTGGATACGACAAAAGATCCAAGTATTAGATGTCATCCACAGAATCAAATCCTTCAAGTAGCTTCATCAATCTAAATATGTGAGGGAGATGATAATGATAATGATGATATTTTTATTTATTATTGCTCACAGCTAAATTAGTTACCTATTTTCACCTCTTCAAATAAAACTTATATGTCCCTAAAATTATTATTATTATCGAAATGACGTATTGAAATGGGAACAACAGAAATGCGAACACTTTGATCAATTACAGGATATACCTTATATGACGGGAAAAAAGTGAGGATATAAGAGAAACATGTGATATACAGGATGTAGTAAGATTGGCAAGAAACAGGAGAAAAGAGTGGAGAGACCATGTGGACAGAATACAAAACGACCGGTTAGCAAAAATTGCTAAGTGCCTGGACGACCACCTATAAGATGGTATGAAAGCTGGTCTTTATCATCCCAACTGTTCTTAGGGAACCATTGAAGAAAACACAGGACTTGGTCCTATAACGTACGAAGAAGAAGAAGAATCGAAATGTGATAAAAATAGAGAAAGGTAGGTAGCAGAAAACGGAAGCTATATTTGGATTGAGAACGTCATTATACATAAGAATCAGCAGGAATGGTAAAGGGCTAGAGAACTCAATTTTACAAAATTGTAATAACAAATATACTATACCTTGTCCTCCTCTGAGTTGAGTCAAGCGCACCTTCAACAAAGTCGTGTAATAAATCCATTTGTTTTTCAGGTACTCTTGAACCATTCTTTTTTCGTTGCAGTAGAATGTCTTAGCTTGGGAATAATAGTAGGTGATGATGACGATGTAGACATTGATGAAATATATGGACAGCAAAGCGAATAGAACGAAAAAGGCTGAACCCAATTTATGTTGCTCGAACGGGTGCATAGGAAAATCGTCGATTAGGTTCATGCTGAGCAGCAACAATGTGGTCATACTCTTGTAAAAGTTGCGGAAATACTAAAACATATTTGAGGAGCAGACATACTAAATGTATTTTGTCCAATTTTTAAGATTTTTAACCAAAGGTGGCATTGCTAACTACATCAATATTAGGTCAGATGGGACGTTCTAAATTCATTTTATCCTATTCGAATTAAATGGCGAAAATACCTTAGACTTTCTGTGTGTTGTATGTCCATTGGTGGTAGACAAACAAACAGAAGTATGTCCTTTTGTGAACATACTGCTGTTCGTTTGTCATTGCCAGATGAGGAGTGCTGTTTTTTGTAATGCAATTTCTCTATTTTTTCAATAATACTACTTAAAATAGTGAATGGAACTACAACTGGGGACCATGTAGTTGGAGATAAGTTCAGATATCATCAAAACTATATTTTTCACATGTAGGTGTACTATTTTTATGAATTCTTATCCATTTTTAAGTATACTAGCTTTTAGGTAAGTTTCTTGCAAAAAGCGTAGCAGGTTATCGTTTGCCAAATTCGAAAAAATGGATAAAATGCATCTAGAAAGTCTGCTCCTCCTGAAAGTGTCATGGATGATGCGGTGGGTTCATTTTTAAAAACGGGAAATCTAAGAAACTTACTTCTGATTCCGATCCAAAGAACGACGTAGCAATTACGGATAAAGCTACCATAAAAGTTGAGTGATATAGTAGAGCCGCCAATAGTGGTCCTGACGAATGGTACAATGTTTTTTCCATTACCTTAACTATTTTCATAAATCTACAACAGAAATTGGGAAACTTTTGGAATGGAAAATTTCAAAGCTGGTAAATATTCTTTTCACTTGCACAGTGTTAAAAAACTTATAACATTTTATTTGTTTTATAATGTTGTACTTGAAAACCGTTATAGATCTTTTAAGTGAATATTCAATTTTTGTTTTACCTTAATAATTTCCACAGTCTAAAGGTAGCTAAAAACACTAGGCTGGCACTAAGTGCTGTAAAAGTGTTGTCTGCCACAAATAAATGAAAATAATTGACAAACTCGTTGTTCTTCGATTCCGACAGTTTTGTCAGATAAATGTTTAACTGTGCTATCCGATTGATGAATAAATATATCGAGGCTATACTTAAGAGAACTGAAAATAAAAAGATAATTTATATTTTTACATCACATCGAGCATCACATCAATTAACCGAGTTTTTTTTTAATGTTAATATTTAATAAAAACGGACAAGTGCGAGTACAATTTGTAGGTCATCATCGTCATCATTTTCAGCTTATTGGACCATTTCTAATTATGGTGTAGCCTCCCTCGTATATTTAGATATTCTATTTGTAGTTGGGCCCATTGTTGTCTATTATTTTAGACTACGTGGGCCCAAGTTATTCTTGCTAATTTCCTAACATCATGGCCCCATCTCAAGTTTGGTCTTTTTCGAAGTCTCTAATTCTAAATTCTTCTTCTAATTCTTTGTGGGTACCATACTGTAATTTTTGTGGTCCATCTATTGTCCGTTCTTGCCAGGTATCAAACCAAACCCATTGCCACTTGAGGGATTTGATTCTGTGGATGACATCTATTACCTGGGTCTTTTGTCGTATCCACTCTATTCCTTTACAGTCTTTCTTGGGTATTCCCAGCCTATTTCGTTTCATTGAGCATTGTGTGACCTGCAGTTTCCTTATAATATCCGTTTTAAGTGTTCAGGTTTCGCATGCATAGTTCATGATTGGTAGTACACATTGGTCGAATGTTTTCTTCTTTAGACAAATTTGCATTCTAGATGATTGGGCTCCAGGACTATTGGCAATTAGGACTATGTCATCAACGAATCTTAGATGATTAAGATATTCTTCATATATTCTTAATTCATTTTTGGTCCAGTCCAGTCGGCAAAAGTTTTCTTCTAGTGTTGCTGTAAACAATTTTGGGGATATCGCGTCTCCCTATCGTACTTCTTTGCCTTTTTGAGCAACAGAATAGACAGAGCAGAACACTACACACATACACTACTAGTAAAGTTGTTATTCATAATGATTCAGTTAACAAATTATATTTTTAGTTATATAATCTTCAAAAGTACTTTCCAAAAATACTAAAAGAACCCTCTCTTACAAAACTAGTTAAATTTTTAATATTATTAATAAAATGAGAATGCATACGAACCTATGATCACATCAAACAGTTCCAAGGCGTCTGAAAAGAACGTTTTACCTTTCTTGATCATCTTATAAATCACTCGAATCGTAAGCAGAAGGAGAACCAAACCGAAACACACAAACACAACTTGGGTGCCTCTAAAATCGCTCTCAACAATAAGTAACCTTCTTGTTTGAATCTGAAAATATATAGTCTTATGTATAGTCTTTCTAAGGGAATATAGAAGATATATAGAAACGATATAGGAATGGGTGCAGGCACAGAAACGGGACATTAGGCTTTACAGATTGCAGTGTTTCTGGGACAGAAGGGTCCCTTATTATTGGAAAAAAAAGAATTACACAAAAAAAATTAAGCACGTTACTAAGGAAGAGTCAAAAATGAACATAATAAAACATGCCTATTATTAATCTTATTAAAAAAATCTTAATCTTATTATCAAACCAAACATAACTACTTTGAAATGGAATTGGGCAGGGCACATTGCAAGGCTAACCGATGACCGATGGACGAAGAAAATAATAGAATGGAGACCAAGACAAGATGCATTCAGGAGCAGAGGTTATCCTCCAACGAGATGGCATGACGACGTAAGGCATATCCACAGTAACTGGATGCAAATAGCTTAAGATAGGGAGTTATGGAAGCAAATGTATAATTTTTATAGTGTTAGTTTTAGTTAGAGTGTAATTTTAGACACTTTGTATATTATTTCTTACCTCAAACCTGTAATTGACGTAGCCAGATGCTCCAATTTCAAAAACAACCTGTACAGTATTGAATAAGTTACAGTTAGGATTGTAAGTGAGAAATTCTATGAAGACGGCTCTGGTTTTCAGATCTAGCCATTTATATTTCTTTAAATAAAACATATTTATGTGGG